GTGAGAGAGGCGGTCTTGGCTGACATGATTTGTGTGATGAAACTGGTCGTAGGAGAACCAAACGTTGACAATAGATTGTCCTTGGGTAGGAGAACATTCACTGAACATATGAAAAGATTTGGTTGAATTCTTACAGCAGTAGAGCTTTATACTTCTGACCATTTTTTTAGGCAATTTTTGGTCATTTTTGCAAAACAACAAGGAGGGCTGGTGAAATCCCCCCAGTTTGACCAAATGTCCTTAAACTTAGACTGAAGTGGTTTTGGGTGGACCCCTTTAAACTGGATAAGTTTCACTGAAATCGGTGAGATGACATGTGCCACCCCCGCCTGGTCCTATCGTGGATGCACTCTTAAATGTTCCTCTAACGTTGTGGCCTGTTTTGAAGGTTGTGTAACGGTCACTTCACTGACCAGTTGACCTCCAGGAGTGACTAGAGCTGAGCTCATGATCACATGTTGGACTTTATGATGAGCTCCTGCTCGTGTTTTCCCGTCAGACAGTTTCCCTCCTTCATGGTTCTGATATTTAGAGGTGTGCAAGAGGCAGGTAGGATCCCAGCAGGTGAAGCAGGACGTCTAAACCCACCTGAAGGCATCACTGAACCACACAAAGTCTGTCAGTTGCTCTGATTTATTCACACAAAGCTGCGACCCGTCAGCTGACCAAAAGGAAATCAGATCTGCAGCGTCACGATAATAAGAACCTGATTGATCTGTGATAGGTTGTGGATCGATCGATCAGGCTGTGTTTAGTGTCCGACACGCAGCCTGCAGCAGAACAGCGGATGTGTTCACACTCTGCAGCAGCTCACTGAGTATTTTTAGGTTCAGTGTGTGAACGTGATAAAAGCGGGAGCTGTGAACGAACCTGCAGCTGCTGCTGTGACGACATCACAGCAGATAGGCTCGGTTCTGTCACGGCTCTGTCTGTAAGCGGGTCCGGCCCTTTTCTGGGTCGGACTGGACGAGCGCCGGTCACACGAGTCTGACCGTTGTGTCCGTTGTGTTGCAGAGCTGCTGAGCTGTGAGCAGCTTCATGCTGTTCTTCATCTGGTGCTGCAGGCCGGGAACATCCTGAACGCTGTGAGTGGAAACATCTGCACAGCTGTGGCGCTCGGCAACGTCACCGCGCCGCCTCAGTGTGTCGCATCAGTCCGTCGTCCTGACGACTTTGTCTGTTGTGTTGCAGGGAGGTTACGCAGGAAACGCTGTGGGCTTCAAGCTGTCGTCGCTTCTGTCTCTGGCCGACACCAAGGCCAACAAACCGGGAATGAACCTGCTGCACTTTGTGGCTCTGGTGGGTCGCCTGTGAGGGGGCACGGAGGGGCATCATGGAGGGGCANAACATGTAACACACTAACATCATGGAACACGCTAACATCATGTAACATACTAACATCATGGAACACGCTAACATCATGGAACATACTAACATCATGTAACATACTAACATCATGGAACATGCTAACATTGTGGAACATACTAACATCATGTGACATACAATATTCCCACCAGAGGAAGCGCTTGAAACGTGTAAAACTGATTATGATGAAATATCAGCATTCATTGAACTTGTCACGGATGATGCATTCACGGACCATCACAAAGTTTGTTTTTACAGTTTCTGGTGGATAAATGGTGGAACTGTGTCGTTTTTTAGAGACACGTGTTTATAACTTGCTAGAGGATGAAACCTGTTGACCTGAGATGCAGTTTTAGGATTTATGGATTAATGTGTTCTTAATTTAATGAAGCATTTATCTGATGGAACGTTGTGAAGCCTGAAACTGTGCAGCTGCATGTGGAGCAGAGCACCTGAGCTGTGTGAAGTAAAATGGGATTATTGTATTTGTAGTTACTCGGTGCGGATCGAGTCCATGTTGCTGAAGGAGGAGTTTCCTGCAGCATTCGACGTCATGAAACGAGACATAAAGATCCTTCGCTCTGCCACCAGAGGTAACGTCACAGCGCCACCTGCTGGTTGCTCAGCTCTGAAGCTGGTGTCCTCTCGTTGTCAGTAAATCACATAAAAGCAGCAGAACAACTCTGGCCGTGTCTCATAGTGTCTGTAATGTGCAAATAACGTCCACATCAAAACGCTGTACTTTTATTCATTTATTATTTTACCGTTTGGGGCCATAACATTTTCGGAAGTGTATCAACCACTCATCTAAATGTTCTGCTGATGTTTTGTAGTGGTTTCCGGTTTTTGAACGTTGCAGTATTAAACTGTTCGTGACATTTTTCTACACTCTCACCAGATGTTCACTTTAAGAGTGCATCCACGATAGGACCAGGCGGGGGTGGCACA